CAGAATGCCCAAATATTTTTCCAAATCACCCATTAAGCTCACTCCCATAACAGCACTAAGCTCGAGAGCTTAGTTAAGGTGGACATTCTAATATGCTCAAAGCTTGGTTTTTTATTCATTCGTTCCCTCAAAGACATGCAGAATAAAGTGACATGGCTTGAATTTGATCCTCTATGCTTCTCTAAAAAAAAACCAAGTCATCGGTGAAGAATAAATGGGACAAATCGAGACCCTCCATAGCTAACTTAAAAGGTTACCATTCTCCTTAACCGATTTTATTTACAATAATATGATTCGACTTCTCCATGCAAAGAGTAAAAATGTATGGTGAAATTGGATCCCCTTGCCTTAATCCTCTATAAAGTTTAAAAGTTTCAAATTGCTCACCATTCCAAAGGAGTTTGGTACTTGTGTTGTATAAAATCTAAAAGCAAGTTGTAAAGTCTCCCTTACTATTCTCCAGTTAACTCCAAATTCAAGGTAATCAAAAGATTATCCTAAAAATATCATCTATTTTATAAGTTTTATAAAATGGGATCCCAAGTTTTCAAAATTAAAACACTTTAATATGCTTTTGCAATTCAAAAATCAGAGCTATAGATGTACAAAAAGTATAGAATCTTTCATAAGTTAAAGCATTTGTATAACAATTAGAAACAACAAAACTATGCAGAAAAGTAGACATGAACTGCAATTTGTCATACGTGCACTGTGGCATATATGTCATTGTAGTGGAAGGATCAAGATTCTAACCCAGATTGCAAGCTTACAAACCATATTATTATATGGATTGATTAGAGCTCTCCCTTTGAATAGCTAAATAGTGCCCTTAGATCACCCATAGTCCTTCATTCAACAGCTTCAAATGTAATGCTTGTTTTTAAACTGTAGAGCAAAATAATTATTCAAAGTCTATTGATCTCATTAGTACCTCTAACTTGTTCTTAACTCATCGAGATGAATTCTTTTCTCTAGGAGTGCAAGTATTATCACATCCTTCTAAGGGGTGCAGATCTTCTTCCATAGATCATCTAGCATATCAACACTTGGTATCTAATCAAAAAGCTTTTGTTGCTTCTCAATTAGGGCCAAAAATACCTCATTTTCCTCCTCCTACATTAACTTAAACAGTTCCTTAAAATCTTCCTCATTTTCCGTACTCTTCTTGCCTACCAATGAATCCTTATGTGAAATGTGTCCATGCTTTCTCTTTCCCAGCACGTTCATGTTTCACACCAGCATCTCCTTCTGACATCTCAGCATCCTTTAGAACATGACCTTCTTCTATCTCTTTTCCTTCATTGAGCTTTAACTTAATACGAGCAAAGCATCTTCTTCATCCTTTGTGAGTCCACTGCTTCCTCCCCCGGATGAGGAATCTGCAGGGGTCCCACCACTAGCACTCAAGCGCTCAATTGTCCTCTCTCTTGCAAAGTCATTTTCACTCATCCTATCCAAGTTTCTTTTCTAAATTTATTACTCATCCAATGAAAACGAAAGTCAATTTTTTTAAGGGAAAATATATTTGCAAATCTTTATAATTTCACTCAATTTAAAATTCGATTTTTATAATTTATTTTATTTTAATTAAGCCCTTATAATTTGATCTATTATATATGTTAATCCTTAAAGGTTAAATTTAATAATGAATCATTAAATTTTACAAAACCAAGATACTCTTAGAGTTTACAGAAATTTTAATTTAATTTTTTAGCTGAAATTAAAAAAAATTGATTTAATGCACTCTTTACATTTTTTATTAATTTGTATAAAATATATTTAGAAAAAATATAATTATATAAATTTTGAGTCATAAAAATTATGTAATTAATTCTAAAGTCATATAATCACTTAATAAAAATATAAAGTTCTTAATTTTTTTAAAAAAATTAAGGCTTTTAACCTTCAGGGATTAAAAAAATTTAATTGATCAAATTATAATGACTCAATTAAAATTAAATAAATAAAAAATATTTAATTTGAAATTGGTGAAACTTTGTGGGCCTACAAATATATTTTCTCTCTCTGTTTTTTTTTTAAATATAAAATGCACACTGCACGCGCTCTTTGCATATGTTTTCTACTTTTCTTGCTGGGAATTCATTACTTTTCGTGTCAAGATTACACTACACCAATCCATCACTAAGCCTACGTTTTCGTACTCAATTTCTCCTTCTTTAATAGAATTTTGTTGTATTCACATATGAGTAATAATATAACAAAGAAAGTCTTACATATAATAAAGTTAAAATATAAACAAATATATAAAATAAATGCATAGCTATTTTCTATTACATTTAGAATTAAAATTGTGTCCCATTTAATTAGAATTTAAAAAATTCAATGAAAGTCATTTTTGTATTTGAAACTCTTTTTGTTGGTAACTATGAGCGCTTGAATCAATTGGTAAAAGTTTTTTTAAGAATAGTATCCTCGAGTTTTACTCAAATCATATTTTTCAAAGAATTTTTCAACACTTTTAATTACCCGATAACATTTTCCTCCTACCTTATTTTATCGCTTATTATTCTCTTTGTTTATGGTCTTTTTCTTTTTCTTTCATTCTTTTGGTTTTGTTTTTTACTTTTGATTTATAGTCTTCGCATGTAGTATTTTTTTTTTCATACTCATAAATAATCTAATATTTCCTTTTTCATATGTGATGTTACGCTTTGAATCTGTTAATAATGCCACTTAATGGAGTCCATGAGTCACAGAAAATCCATACCACTACTTGATAGACCAAAGCAAGTTAGATTTTGTTTTATTTTTTAATCAATTACATTGACTTGTGTACATGTGTGTGTTGATTGAATCTGGATTTTTATGGATGTTATCTATGCTTTTTTTATATATGTAAATAAGTAATTATCTAATATATATATATATATATATATTATACGATATAATCAAGTTTAAATAGATAATTGTTAAATTTAATTAGAGGTATTATAATGTAATTTTTTTCTATCATTTTATTTATGATATTAAAAGATAATAATGAATGAAGTCATAAATTTAAATTATGCCAATATTTAAAAAATATCTGATATGGAACTTCAGTGTTAACATGTAAAAGTAACACAAAAATCTCGAGACCAAATCCTGCTTTTTAAGAGGCATAATTTTTTATGATTTTCATATTCATTTTTAATTAATGGTTATTAAAAGTAATTAGCAAGTTCCAAATTTGACACCACGCTTTTAATTGGGACTTTGGAATATTGTTGAATTCTTTTTGCTTCCAAATCAATCATCAATCCTCATATAATTTTTAGAGGAAGTCAATAATTTATAAATATTGACAGGATTTGATAAATATAGTTTGTCCTAAACTGTATGTTTTTTTTTTTGCTTATTTTAATTTCTTTTTCATTCCCTCATTTCCCTCTCCCAAAAAACTATACCAATTAAAATATAAATTTGTTAAAAAGTCATCCAAATTTATGATTTTGAATTATATTAATGAATTTATTTAATCTCACGAAAATAGTTAATATGAACTGAAAATAATTTGATCAATTAATATTTTATTAGTAGCAATAATTTGTCATATCATTAGATCTTATAATTGTGAGATCGCAAAAGGTTATATATCATTACCTTGTTGCGTGGAAGGAAACCCCTTATATGCTCATCATCAATCTAAATTCTATATATCAATTTTAGATGATCTAGATTTAATCTATTTTTATTTTTATTTTAATAGATAAACAATCTAACATATTTCATTACTATCATTTTTTTAAAAAATAAATTTTCATATGAAAAGTACAGATTAAAATTTTTAAAACTAGACAAAAAATTAATTTTAAAATACTTAATTTTTTTATTTGTAATTATGTTAAACTTTTTTAAAATATTAATTAGTCCTTATCATCTAATTCTTTACCCTCTCTCCCAATATAAAAAAAATTAAATAATTAAGATTGTGAATATTTAAATAAATAATTTAAATTTTTTGTGTCAAAATTTATATTGAGTAATTTATTATATCAAATTCTTATTTCATAAGTTTCTTTGATGAACTTGTTTTTAAAATTTTTTGAACTGCATGTTTGAATATTATTTTAGCCAATTTATATATTAATTTTTTTATTTATTAAATAAACTTATTTACATAATAAAATAAATTTTAAAATATAAATGAAAATGTAAAAAAAAACTACATGCTTTGATTTTTTTTGAGCAATTTAAATGATTTTTTGACAATACATATATTTAAATAAGATTATTTTAGTCAAACATAAGTGACTTAACAGTCCCAAACAATTAGTTGGATAAAAATAAAATATTAAAAGTAGGGAGGATAATTATATTTTATAACTAATCATATAGATTTCAAAAATAAAAAAAAAAGTATCTGTAATTAAGGTGAAATAAAGGGAAGGTAAGAGTATTTTACTCTAAAAATAATAACACATATTAAAATTTTATTTGATTAAATTGGTACAACTTGACATGTACGCGACACACTTGGTTTAAGTAAAAAATTCTTTCTCCTCAAACAATAAGAAATATTAAATGAATAACTAATAAAAATTTTAAAAAATTGATAAAAATTATATTTAAAGGACAAAATCCATAGATAGATTAGCCTAATTTAAAAACTTAAAAGTTTCATTATCCATGTTATATTTATACAAAACCATAAATTAACCAAAAATATATAATTTAAGTATAAGATAAGAAAAAAATGCTCTATCGAGCTTCATGTGGGTTGAAAATTTCAACGTTGTCTTACACTCGTTACTCCGAACCTTCTTTTTTCTAATAACATGAAGTAATATAACTCAATCAAAGCTGGCCAAAAAGAAAAACAATCAATTAACTGTAGTGTCGTCTTTCTTTCCCATCTACTTTCTCACGTCCTAATCCTAATAGTCACATCGATACATATATTAATTAAGAAAACCATTTAAATATTATTATTTTCACTACCAGAACAACAAGCAAGAAACCCAATATAACCTTTTGGCTCTTGGATCAGTGCAATTTTTTCTAATCTATCAGAAAAGTCTAGAATTCCCACCTCTATTTCCAGTAAACTTCCTCCTCTCATGCCTTCATCAAATCAACTACACATTTCGATAGAATAGTCTCTCTCAGGACTTTTGTCAAACACTTAATGCGTGTGAACACCCACCCGACACGCACAAACACATACCATATGTATAGATCATAGAATTGTGGCCTTACAGTTTCTTTCTGCTCCTGCGACTCGTATCGGCGATGGAGTTTTTCGAGAAATCCAAAGCCGTGAAGCTTCGAAGCCACCTGGACAAGTACCTCGTCGCCGACGACGACCAGATTGAGGTTCGGCAGAGCCGAAACGGGTCTTCGAGGAGAGCGCAGTGGGTTGTGGAAGTGGTGGAAGGGAAGGAACGGTGTGTGAGGTTGAAGAGTTGTCACGGCCGGTACCTGACGGCGTCGGTGATTCCGTTCTTCCTGGGGATGACCGGGAACAAGGCGGTTCAGGCGGATTTCGAACCGGGTTCGCAGGGGATCCACGAGTGGGAGGTGATCAGAGACGGGTTTCAGGTGAGGCTGAGGAGCTGCTGCGGTACGTATCTCAGAGGGAACGGCGGGACGCCGCCGTGGAGGAACTCGATCACGCACGACGAGCCGTATGCCTCTGCCACTCAGAATTGGATTCTGTGGGATGTGGAGAACGTGAAATTGCTCGACGATTTCGATTCCTTCTCGTCATCTGTTTCCGATGACCACTGTGCCTGGGAGCCACCATCTCCGATGTCCATCATCTCCGTGCAGTCGCCGATGAAGAGTTCCAAGTTTCAGGTGCGTGTATACACCCTACATGTCTCTAGTCTCTTATCAATTTTGTTCTTTACAATTCTGGGTTTTGTTTTGTCTTTTTATTTAAAAGTTTTCGTCTATTATTATTATTTTTTTTTTGGACTAGCATGTTCATCTATTATTTGAAGATTCAGTATGTTTTTCTTCAATATTTTATTAGCTGAAGTATATACAAATTGATAGAGTTTGGTGTTTTCATGGTTCTACCAGTAATTGAACTTGGAATCTGTAAGTCTATCTCCAAGTCAACATATAGCATTAATGCACAACCAAGAAGACTCAAGTTTGTTGTTTTGAGAAAGTACATTTTAAATGCATTTAGTTTTAGAATTACATTTTTGTGCCCTCTTCAAAAAAAAAAAAAAGGAATTACTAGCTTGTTGAAGAGACTGTTTACTTTTATATCATAACTAAATTTATACTTGATTTTATTAATTAGTAACTAGTTATATTTTAATACTTGATAGTGATTTCATCTAAATCAAGATGCTTAGTTGGAAAAACCAAACTGAATTAAAACTACTTTACATATAAGGTTAAAATTTGTGGGATAAAAATATAATTAAAATTAAAAGTTAAAAATTTAAAAATAATAAATTTATAAGTTTAATTCAAAAGTTTGACAACTAATAGTGTGAAAAACAGCTCAATCATAAAATTAGTCATAATAGTGTATCCCATATTTACTAATATTGATGAATATTTAATTTGAGATTATAAATATAGCTCTACTTAAAATATCATTTTTTCAAAAAAGGAAAATTCTTGTCGCTGCTTTTATGTCTGGTCTTATTTATAAATTATTTTTAACATGTTTTATTAAAATCAAAAAAAATTTAAAACTCATTGATTCTATATAAAAATTTAACAAATTTTTATTTTTATCCCTGTTATATATATAATTGAATAAGATATTTCCTCTCATTAAAATTTAATGGAAGGTAAAAAGAGAAAATTATGCAAAAAAATTAATAAAATAAATTATAAATAAAACCCGAAAAAAAAAAATCTTTTTGTGTCTATAACCAGAGTGAGCATCACTTTATTGGGATGAGCTTATGCAATCGAACATGAATGGAATTGAGAGACAATACCATATAAGTTGCTCCACTCCTTTCACCAACTCCTCAGCACTAACACTGTCACTGAATAAACGCACTATCTATTAATAAGCAGTTGTTCTATTCATATTAGACGCACTATCTATTAAACTTTACCACCAACATATGATAGACAAAACAAACTTGGCTTTCTTTTCTTATGTTGTAATAATGTTGGTATTTTCTTAATTTGAAATTAGTATTGAAAGTAAAAATTTTGATTATAAATTTTCTTTCAGTTGAATTAGCTTCATGGTTCTAACGCCACATTTCCTACGCGCTATTGTTACTCCAGAATGTATGATATTTTATAATTAAAAAAATGTTAATTCTTCTACCTATGTGTTGATTAATTGTATTGGATGATAGGGATAAATGTAAAATTAAAAAAAAAAGTCAATGTTTTCATGAAATTTAGAAAAATACTTTTTTTTTTTTTACTACATGTGATACTTATTGAAAATGTCCTGCATTGTAAATCGGGTAGATTATATCCATGCATTGAGAATTTAACCTAGGAAATCTGATAAAAAAAATTTTCTGTAAATAATATTTAGGTGCATGTGTTGAAAAATAAGTTTTTGTTCTAAACATAAGTCATGTGATAGTTTTTATAATTATTTTTTAATTATATCGTCGCTTGATATATTCTTCTTTTTTAAAAAATAATGTATTGAAATTTTAGTTTTTATTATTAAGATGTTTATATAAAATATTTTAAAAAATATAATTAAAAAATGTAATATTTTCAAGATAAAATTTTAGCTAACTGTTTTTTTAAATACTGTGAAATAATTATTATCAATACATTATATTATCATCTTCATGAATTACATAAAAAATAAAAAAAAACTAGATTGGATGGATTGAGGCAATAAATAAAAGTCAAATGTGAATGAAATTGCGTTCACACTGCAACAATCACCTGGAGGACTGTGTTGCAATTATTGATGATATGATATTATGATGTATCACTCTTTCAATCGACCTCATCAATGAAGGATGCTTCCTGTGATACGTTAGACAGCAAAGTGTCTTTCGTTTCTCAACTACCTTCTAACTATTTGGCCCCGAATTTATTACTATGTCCAAAAAATTAGCATTGTAGCTTCACATGTTGAGTTAAATATCTTTCCTTCCAATTTTATTCATAACACACTTTTAATCAAATCATTATACCTATCAAAAAAGAAATTAAAATTAGTTGATGGTTTTAGATTTAAAAAAAAAATTCACCGCAAAAATTCCAAATATCCTACTTTCAGAAAGGGTTACATATGAAAAAAAATCATAATCATAAATCATAAATCATAAATATTCAAATAGGTTGTAAAAAAATTTATATATTAAGAATTATGAAAATCTTCTAAAAATTCCATATATCCTAGTTTCAGAAAAGGTTATATATATATATATATATATATTTTTTTTTTTTTTTTTGGGTTGATGACGAAGTTGCTTGGTGGTGGAAACCGTTGCTGATCTTCCATGCCATGTCTGGATTCTGGATACGAATAATCTTTCATATTGCGTGTATCAGAATTCAAATCCATAACTAAGCTTTACTGCTTTAGTTTCCTTCCTATTGAAGCTTTAGACCTGGTAATACCTTTGCTTTTTTCTAGATTCATGTTTCTTTTCTCTTCCTTGTGGCCCTGGTCAGTTCAAAATTCGTTTTATACTAGATTGATTGATTCCATGTTGATTCTCTTACCAATTCGCATTCATCATTACATCATTTATTGTTGTAGCTAGAGATTATTTATTTATTTATTTTTTTAAGATTTTGTTGGCCGCAACAAACAGAATCAAACCTGAAAAAACTACTTTCTTGCCTGCTGGGAAACTGATCTCTGCTTCACCGTTCATTTTCATCGTCCTCACATCACACAAGAATCTCTATAACCACGAAGTGTTCACTTTTCTTCTGACGTATCAATTCAGATTATAAGTTCTGGAGCTTCGAATTAGGCCTTATTTGAATCTGCGTTTTTCAGAAAAATTCCATTAAGTTCATAAGCGGCATGGATTTCTTCCAGAACGCAAAGGCGGTGCGGCTCCGGAGCCACCACGATAAGTACCTGCTCGCGGAGGAAGATGAAGAGTCGGTGACGCAAGACCGAAACGGGTCGTCCAAGAACGCCCGATGGGTCGTGGAGCCTGTACCCGGATACGACTTCGTGATCCGCCTCAAGAGCTGCTATGGGAAATACCTCACCGCATCAAACCAGCCCTTGTTGCTGGGCGTAACGGGTCGGAAGGTGATCCAGACTCAGCCGGGGAGGCTCGATTCGTCCATAGAGTGGGAACCCGTCAAAGACGGGTCCCGGGTCAAGCTCAAGACCCGGTATGGGAATTTTCTCAGGGCCAATGGAGGGTTGCCACCTTGGCGAAACTCCGTGACGCACGATATACCTTATAGAACTGTCACACAGGATTGGATCCTCTGGGATGTGGATGTTGTAGAGATCCATGTTCAGTCTCCCCCGAGTCAGAATCCCTCGGCTCCACCATTGCCTCATTCCGATTCTCTCGATCTACCCTACACCAAATCTCTCAAATTTTCCAGGCAAGAGGTATGCAATTGCGATCCGTCTAATATTTTCTGTTAACTCTGAGCTTTGATTTCAATCCGTTAAACATAGTATCGTAAAATTTGTAATTTCGTTTTCTGATGATTGATTTTGACATTGTTTGGCAGTCGGGGGATTCAAATGTGAGTTCGCCGCGGAAGGCGGAGGGGCGAATCATATACTATCATGTTGCTGAAGAAGATGGTTCAGTGGAAGATGAAGGAGTTCAAGGGTATTCTCTGGTTTTCAAAGGGAATGGAGTGGAAGAACTGACTCGTAAAATTACGGAAGAGACGGGGCTCGAGGGTATAATAGTGTGTTGTCGTAGTCCTTTGAATGGAAAACTTTATCCTCTTCGCTTGGATCTTCCTCCGAACAATGTCACCATGCAGGTCGTTCTGGTTCTTCCTTCTTCAACAGGTGAGTTTCCTTTCTTGTAAATGCTGAATACACATCTTTGAGATGCATTAATGGTTGAAGTCCCCTTCATTATGCTTATAAAGCTCACTATAGTTTGCTTAGACTTTAAATTCTCGACGGTTTACTGCTTTGTGGTGGTGATAGGTGATCTGCTACCTAGTTAGTTACCTCAAATTTGTCTCTTGGAGATCAAGCCAAATGATTGATAAAATCGAGTTAAAGAATTGGAGATCATGCTGATAATTTAATCATTTAACTGTTAACTGACCAAAAAGATATTAACAAGGATTGAACTCTATACTATTTCAAATATGAATTCTTTTTTCAATTCCTTTTTTGGATTCTCCTTGTTATCATCATGGTTTATTAATTCATTTAGACTTTGTTCTGTTATTGCATTTTGGGATTATTTTAAATGTGCTGCTATCCAACACACCAACTTGGTGTATTTGATATTGAACTTGAGAGGGTGCTTGTTAAACAGAGTCAAACTTATGTTGTTAAGAACACTTTGCACTTTATCCTGATGCTTAATATGAGAATTCAGTTCAAAAACATAAATTTTTTGGCGAAGATTGTAGAGTAGCTTGAGGAATATCTTTAATTATGTAGAACATCAAATATGTCATATTAGAGGATAGGATGTTCTCCAATATTATTGCACAAGACAGGAGAAAAATATCAGAGAAAGTGAAATCCACTGAGCATATCCTTGTAGAACCTACCTTCATTCTTCTTCTTATCACGCTTTGCACACAATCAGTGGATCCAAATTCTTATAATAAAGACTCAACTAGAGGTGAAATGTTAAGTTGAATGAGGGGAGGGATAACAAAAGACGGCCAATTCATTGATAAATTGGCGACCCTCTTGGTTTGGCTGCTCACATAGGACATAACATGTTGATTTTGTATGTCGTCTTTTTATTTTTGTGGGGTTTATATCTTCTAGTTATCTTTGTTGACTTAACAATTTATTTCTATTTATCCGGTCTTTCAGTGGCACGGGAATTTGAGGAACAGGGTTTGCTGTGAGACGCCTTAAATTATTGTAATTTTGAATCCATTCAAATGCAAAGATCTCTGTACATATTAATCCAAGCCGATTCGAAGTCTCTGTGGAAGCATTTTGGACTGTGTTGCGAAGCGGCTTCAACGGAGGTACCTTGGTCATAGAGGTCATGATATGATGATATCAATACATATATTTCATATTATTGTAAATATTCCGATACTGAATTTATGTTAAGGCTCAATCTAGTGGGTGTAGTTTTAAAATGCCTAGTCTTTCTCGTAGATGCAGGAACTTCAATTTTAAGTGGTTTGGAAAATTTCTTGTTTTTTTTTAAATTATAAATATTTAAGAGTTGTATTTAAAATTTTATTTGAGAGAGTCGAAGGCTGATTTTTTATTACCAAATATAAAATTTTAAGTTTTGTAGCATTTTCAATTAAGCTTTTAGTGTTGGCTTGTTGGTTGTATGTCCCGTTAGAACTGTTGATCTAAATTATAAACCAAAAAAAAAATGATAAAGTGAATTATAGAGAATAGATTATATATTAGTTAGAAGTGTGTCAATTTATAAGTTGGTTCTTTTGATATCCTCTAATCACGCAGTCCATGTAGACTTGCGTATACAGTGATGGGTTTTATTTGATAGGAAAGGCCCATTACTAAATCTTTTACTCTCCAATCATAGTTAAGAACTTCAATGGGGGGGGGGGAGTAAAAACCCTCAAAACAAGGGCTCGTTTGCTTGCTCCAAAAAAAGGGTATTGATTAAAACAAAGAATAAAAATAAAAATGCAGTAAATTATTCAATCCCTCCGCGGTTAACATTAAAAAAAAAATTTAATACCACATATCTCAAATGTGTCTACTACAAATCTAAAAAATAATAAATTGTAATCTTATGAATTAAATTATTTATCTCCTTATGAATATGGTTACTTCATGTCTTTTTCACATTTTGATTATTGTATTTTTATTTTTCTTTTTTAAACCATTTCTTTCCAACAAACAAACATTGACTCTAAAGATTTGTGTAGGCTGAACTTTTGCTCGATGAGCATGTAATTTAAGACATTCTACTATATACAAATTATTCATTTTTATTTATTATATACTAATCAATACTCTTTGATCTGTGTACTGTCAAAAATAACCTCCTTTTATGTCGGTCATTTTAACTAATTTACGTTGGTTTTAGGAGCTGAAGTACCTAAAAGTTAGTGATCTAGGATCTACTTGATTAACTGTCTTCAGAATAGTTTTTTGTTTAAAAATAAAAAATAAAAAACTTGTTTAAAGCTGGAGGTGACCCGAAGTTAGGCGGGCAAAACCCCAATTGTGACGGTTGCTGTAAATAATACAATCAAGAAAACTGGGTGTGGCGGCTTATTATTGGAGCAGAAGTCTGGGGTTTTTTTTTTTTTTTATAGTTTGCAAGTAGCTAATAAAAAGCTATAGACAAATAAATTGGTAATCAAAAGTGGCTGTTCAATCGATGCAACAGCTCGCCTGGACGCTGGTAATTCTACAGGAAAGCAATTCCGAAGAATATTGAGACTTGCTGATGCTGACATGGAAATTCGTGTGATGCATACTCAGAAGGAAATTTTTGCGCAGATTGGCTGGCAAAAGATAGTTCTAATGATTGTATTTTTCTTAATGAGCCTCCTATATATAGAGAGCTTGACCACTTGTTGTATGGGGATAAAGAGGGGATTAATACCTTTTGTAACTCCCTCAATTTTCTTTTCAAAAATCAGAAATATTAATTAGAATATGCCAATAAAACATTAAATCCCAATAAAATAACCTATCATTTAAATAAATCTGGTTCCCAAAAGTTTCACCAACTATTGGGCTAGACAAATAAAGCCCAAACATGATCAAAAGATGAGCCCAATAATCTCCATCTTAGTCAATCATATATTAATTTAAAAATTTAATAAGTATCAGTTATTAAAAAAAATAATTAGTGAATATGTAGATATCAAAAAGCTCACATTTATGTCAACCTCAAAATACACAAGTCCAATCATCCTAGGTCATGGCATAATAAAAGCCTACAAGTGACACATGCCAAATCAAAGAATGATTAGAGCCCATAGGCTCGATTCACCAGTGCCTTCCTTGTGACCTCCCGTAATCCTTACTTGAAGAATTATAAGAGGTAACAAATGATATCTAACCTCTCAATAACAAATGGACATTCTACATACATTAGCAAACCCTTTTGAATATATTTTACAACCATAGATTTATATATACAAGTATTTTCACAAACCATTTCACAATCTAGTTCACTAATAGAGGAATACTATCTTCACAATATAATCAATTTAGTTCAAATCCTCAAATAATATAAACACTATTAATGCAAGCCCTAACCCATTTTTATAACTTGCCATATCTACCTTGTACAGTTGGCTGAAGCTTGGATCGAGAAAACACTTAGCCAAAAGTACATTGCATACAGAGCTAGACTACCATCCTTGAAAAACAGTGCTTTATGTCCCCCAATCCCAAACTAAAGAAAGTGGCCCTAACAAGAATGCCAGTCACAGGATCTTTAGTGGTAGCTTATTGCATGGTAAAAGTAATGACATAATCTCCAATATATCCACCATAATCATATCTTTTCTTATATTCCTACAAGTATATCGCATTTAAAACATTTTCAAAATATACAAGCATGTTTGAAAAGATTTGATCATATTGTTTTCAGTTTTTGAAGCAACCATGCATATTTGAGAGGATTAAACTAGCATTAAAAGTCAAATTCATGATCCAATAATCACCCAACAAACTAGCATGTTTGAAAGGAATAAAATAATCATATAGCAGTTCATATATCACATAAGCATGTTAGACAATTCAAAACATATATTTCTAGTCCAAAATCAATCAAATTAGCCTTCGGCGGGCACTGCATTCCAGAGCAGTTTATATATGCATGTAACAATATAAAACAATGGTTTTTTAGTGTAAAAAGAATGATCATTGTTACTTCCTTTTCAAGCTAAAACTATACATGCTAGAATGTTCTCGACACCACTAACTCAAATGCTACTTTACAAAAATTAACAACATATATAATTATTTTATAAATCTCTATAATTTATTTTATCCAAAATTAACTCTAATATTCCTAAAGTTTTCTATTTAATCTCTGAACTATTTTATCCTTTAACTTAAAATTAATTTCTATAAAATTTTGTCCATTCTTCATCTCTCTAAAATTAATAAAAACCTTGTATTCAAATTTTTCCTAAAAGACTCAAACTCTATCTCTTCAATTTATCCCAAATACATATATTTGATTTTAATTCTCATATTCAGTTTATTTATAAACAAATCTAAACTTTAGAAAAATTTTCTAGCTTATTAGATTATAAATAAGTTTTATTCATTTACCGTAAGTCTTTCGGAACAATAAAAACTACTCTAAATCCTTCAAAATCAATTATTAGGGCAAAAACCAGCATAGACTCCAGAAATACTTAGGTAAACTTAGTACGTTACGTTATTTGTGGTCTGTCCAATTAAAATGCTTTAAGTAATTTAAATAAAATCTCATGTGATATTTTTTTAATTGATTTTATTTTTATAACAGAATGTACATTTAATTTTTTTCCTTTTCTCTCCTCACTATCATTAATATTAGAATTAATTTATACTAAATATTATTTAAATGTCAAGTTTTTATTGGATAGACCACAAATGATGTAATACATTCGGTCTACCTAAGTATTTCTCCATAAACTCTTAGTCTTAACATTTATAACTCTTTTAACAATCCAATAATCAGTTAAAAATACTCAATAAATTTAAAATCTATATCTAATTTTAAGTTTCTCTTACTTATTAGAACCCAAAAATATCAAAAAGGAAAATAAGGAAAAGAATTGGATCACTTACCTAATCTTTAGAACTTAGAAGCCTTGAAATCAATGAAATAAATATTTAGGATCTAACAGGTACCCAAATAAAATTTGAAGCATAATATTCCCTTTAATCTTCAACTCCCTCCCCCTCTCACTCGCATAGCATATAGCCGCGCGGATAAAAACGAAACGAACGCATCGGGGCCAATTCGAATCGCTTGGCATTATTTAACACTCTAAACCAACAGTGGGCCGTGGCCTACATGCCCACTATTGGTTTTATATATTTTTTTATTTCATTCTTTATTGTATGCAAACTTATTTGTTATACCGATACGTGTATATATATATATATATATCTCTCTCTCTCTATATTTTGAAGGTTCTAAGATTTAAAATAATATTGAATTTGCATATTTTATTTCAAGTAAAATTCTCCTAATATTTAAATAATATGTTATTAATTGGACTAAGGTGTATTTATGTTAATGAACTTTTTTTAAAGAATATTGGGCACCTTGTAAGGACAGAACTAGCTTTAATAGTTACAGAGGCCAACTTTTAGAAAAAAAAATTAATTTATAATTTGGAAATATTAGATGCCAGATTAGGTACAAATATATATACTTTTTAGAAAATTTTTAAATTAAAATAAAATCACATAGCATACTTATGTTTGCTCTAATCCGTACTTTTCAGAAATAAAAGTTGGTCTACATTATAAGATAACTAATTAGAATTTCAAATGATACTCCATTTTCACTTGAACAACGCATGATGTTCTCTTTAATTAATAAGGGTATGAGTGAAATATTAAAATATTTTTTTAAAAATAAAACAACCTAATAATTTTTCTTAATCTACATGAAAAAATGTTGAAAAGTGTATATAAAGGGTGCATTTTCTAAAAGCCCTACTTAGTCTAAAACACCTAATAATTGGGAGTTTTTATAATAGCTTTTTCAACTACACTCTTATTTTATTTATTACTTTTTTTAAAAAAATTATGTATTAAATTTTTAATTATCATTATTAAGACACTTATAAAAATTTTTTAATGAATACATAACTGAAAAGATATACAGTTTTTTAATAGATTAAGATTTTACTAATTTCTTTTCTAAAACTGTGAAGTATATAGTTATTAATGCCACTTATTATAGCCTAGAGGAAATATAAATATATATATATATATATATACATGTATATAATTTGTGTATGTGTGTGTATAATATGGAAGATTATTTTAATTGTGGTGTCATGTCTACACCCCCTTCCTCTCATCGCACTCCCTCACTGTCACGCGCACTCTCCCCATGGAATACAAGGCAAGGGTATTGGGCTGGGCCGGCCCTCCCTTGCGTAACACATAGGTCTGCCCCTAACATTTTATATTAATAAGTAAAGTAATTTTTTTTAAATTATTTTTTTTAAAGAATTAAAAACTTCTTCTATTACTCAGCCATTAATTTTTTTCATTTTCTACTTATATGACATACGTATGAGGGGTTAGAGCTGGGAAACAAATAGGCTTAGCCCTTAAGGGCCTGACCTATAAAGGCCCAAGCCCTTAAGCTCAGTTTTTATTTTTCATTTATTTTTTAAAGCTGGCTCCTATTTGAAAGGCTCAAGGTAGGGCTCGTAAGCCCTATTATGAAAAAAATTAAAAAATTTTAAAAAAAATTAAGCACTATAAATTAATTTAAATATTCTAAAATTAAAAAATTTAAATCCTCATAATCTTTTATAAATTAAATAAAACACATTTATAAGTCTAGCAAGAAAATTCAAATTTTGATTAAAAAATATTTTATTTTTTATAAATACACAAACATAATAATTATATAAAAATAAAAAATATCAAAAATTTTATATCGTGCATTGATATTTATTAAATTATATTAAATTAATTTTAGAATAAATTAAAATTAATAATAATGTAAGTCATGTAGAATCAGGGCTTCAGGTGAGCAAGTCTTTATGGTTTCAAACACATGTTCCACCAAACATAATAATAATAATAATAATAATAATAATAATATAACAGGACTTGAAGGGCTACCTAGGTCTGAACCTGAACCCCTTTTTTATAGGGATTATCAGGGCTAGGCCCTCAAGCCTATTACTTTTAAAAAAAATTAATTTTCAAAGCCCAAACCCTTATTTAAAGAGGGTCTTGGCTTTAATGAGAGCCATGCACAGTGGCACATTGATAAGTAAGAATCTGATCATGTCTTTTAATTTTAATTTATCCACAAACTCTTTTTCAAGAGTGTTAGTTACTCTAAAGTCTTTTTCTATGAATGTTAGGTACTATGGTATTTTGTTAAAATAAAATTTAATACATATTATCAAAATTTTAAATATTTTAATATTTAATAATTTAAATATTATTAATTACAAACATTCATTTAAGATTTATAATTTTTTAAAAATATTAACTGTTCAAAGTACTTTTTTCATAGATTTATGGATGACTTGTTATTTTTTATATATTGATCTCCAAGTTTTGTACGAGACAGTGCCCAAATTATTATACCTTTTGTCCAAGTCAAAACTTATCCATATTTTTAATATTGGTTAAGTAGTTCATTAAATTTTTAGGTTATTCTCTATAATTTTTTTATCAACTAACCATTTTCCTCCAAAATATTGTATCATCCAAATTTAATACTTTTTGTATGCTACAATGTTATAGGTAAAATAAAAAATATGATAGATCAAGACCAATAATATGCTAACAAAAATGCTTATTTGGAAGATATTACATGTCCCATTAATGTGCTACCAAAAAGTTACTTGATAAGAAAATAATGGAGAGATGAGGGAAAACAATTCCTTTGTTAATTTGGAGGCTCATTCCCTTTGTTTTTAATACAAAATTGTAAAATATTAAAAATGTTAAAATATTATATTAAGTGGTGTAATATTTTGAAGAAAAATCATTAGTTAATTCAAAAAAGTGACAAAAAAATGACCTAAAAAATTTAAAAAACTCAATCAGTATTTAAAATATGATCGATATATAAAATATTACAAGTCATTTATAAATTTATGAAAAGCTAGTTTCAGTTGTTAATATTCAAAAAATAATTTATAATTTATGGATGAATATTTATAAATAATATTTAAATTATTCAATATTAAAATATTTAATATTTAAATAATATTTATTATATTTTATTTTAACAATACTTCAAGATGCTTAGAATTCCTAAAAAAAGACTTTAGGGTGCCAAATACTCCTAAAAAAAAGTTTAGAGCCAAATTAGCTCAAAGGACATGTCAGAGTCTTATCTATCATTGTGTGTGAACCCTATGCACATGTCACATTAGTAAAAAATAAAAAAGTTAATGATTATCTAATAGAAGGGCCTTTTGCTCCTTAAAAAAAAATTCAAGGATAAAATTATCCTATTTATCAATACATAATGCCTAGTACTCCTCCTCAAAAAGAGTTAAGGGGTAAAAATGTACTTTAACCCTTATTAATTTAAAATACTATTTTAAATACTCCTCTTTAGTCTCACCAAACCATAAAAATTTTCTTTTCCAAAAAATTATATCTTTAAATTCTTTTTCAAGTAAATTTTCCTTACTAACTGATTATCTAATAAATTCTAGTTATCACAAAATTTCATCCCATGTTAAGTAAATCTTAGAAAATAAAAATGAGGATGTTACACCTTTCATCCTGTTTAATAAATAACATGTTATAAAAAATTAATTAAAGAAAATATATAAGATAAAAGGGTAATGAGAATTAGTATTAAAAGAACTCCACTTCTCCATTTTTTTTTCCATAAATTGAACTTATAAAAAATTCCCCTCCCCTTCCCTCCGTCCAAACACATCATAAGGTTTTTTATCATATAAAAGATCTCTCTCTCTCAAATTAATCTATACTCTTTGATGATCATTAACTGGAGTCTAAAATTATATTAAGTAAATTTTAGCGTCTACAAGTTCAACCAAGCACCATCTGTTGGATAATGACAATGAATGATAATTTTGGAGACACATGACTAAATCTGGACGCAAACATCTTTCAGCAGAAATTTGAATATTAGTTCATCATATTTTGAGAAACTAGTTTCTTTTATTTTACTGATTCCTCATTGATATAAAATATGATATATAATTGATGACTAGTTATTCTACTTCTAAGCTTTATTTTGAGATTTAATTAATGAAATTCAGGGATCTATCCAACTAGTTTGAAGTAGTAATAAAATAAAACAATGTTACAGTCCACGATACAAGCCACGCCTACGGTTTTGTTGCTCCTTTAAGATCTGCGAAACTCGATGTTGCGTAGCCATGTAATCCTCCATGGCTTTTGGATGACACTGTCGAATGAACATTTGTTGTTTCAACTGCAAAATGCGTTGGTTGGTCGTATTGAGTTCTTCCCAGTCATTTTCCTCATCTGTGCGCAGAGCCTTTTCTAGTTTCAGATCACCAAGCTCTTGCAGCGTTTTGGTAAGATCCTGCATGTCGTTTGGAGTCCCCGTTTTTAGAGTCCTCTCTAGCTTTGCCTGTGCCGTTTGCTTCAGGATTGCGATCTTCTCCTCCAACCCACCAATGCGCATGCCTTCTAGTTTCTGCGACACATCTTCAGCTATCTTCTCTACCAATTCTGCCTCAAACCTATCTTCCATTATTCATTTAAACCTCATCAATCAATTATAATTATGATTTATTTATATTAAGGATTAATAAAGCTTGTGGTGGGTAATAATAACATATCGTGAGTGAAGTGAAAAGGACCAATTTTTAAAATTTAAACATGGTAATTTTTTTTTTTGAAAAGCATGTTGGAAAAAGTTTTCATAAATTTTAACAATATTTAAATATAAATTTATTTTATTTAATATCAGGAAATTGTATTAAGAAAATGGGGGAATGACGCTTTGGGTTTCTTATAAGGAAATTATTGACACTTTGGTTTGAAATAAAGACTTCTTTAAATTGGTAACAATAACATACTGCATTTTAACAACTTATTTTTTGAACTTTGAAGCAAGATGTTAATATTTCACTTATACTATTTTGTCTCTGTCATATCTAACCCTTCTCTGCCAAAAAAAAAAGTCCAACATACATGCCTCCTAAAATTTTTTTGCCTCCTTTTTTAACCACTTTGGGGACAGATAGATCCTATAATCCTTTATACGTCCCTTTTTTTGGATAAGAAGAAAAATTAAAAGGAAAGAAAACTAAAAAAAAATCCTAAAAAAGGTAAAAAGTCAGTATTTTTGGAAATTTCTTTTTCTAGTTTTCTCTCCGCCTGTCTTCTTTCCTTTTTTTCTCTCTATCCAAGCCAAGTCTAATGTTTTTGTCTAGATGAAAAAAAAAATAGAGAGCAAAGAAAACTAGGAGGAAAAACTATTTAAAAATAAAAATGGTGAATTTTTTTTTTACCGTGTTTGGAAATTTGTCCTCCTATTTTTCTATGCTATATATTTTCTCCTTACTTTTCCCTCATCCAGACTAAGCCTAAATGTTATTGTTAGTAGGAAAAAAATTGTTGAATAAGTGTTTACCCGAAAAAAAAAAAATTGTTGAAAAAGTACCTGTTCGGTGAACATTCCCAGCCAGAGGTCTTGGCGGCAGAAGCCAAAGCAACACGCCAACGTTGTACCTTGCTCAAGGAATCCTTAAGCTCTCTTTCATGGCGGACAAACGCATCAGCAAAACATCCAGTCTGGTTTTGCACATGAGACGGATCTACATGGTAGAAAACAGGCACTGTAATCTGCCCATGTTTTAACTTACACTCAATCATCTTCCCAAGTTGGTCCAAACACTCTCGCGAAGATGCATAGTTCTCAGAGAAGATCACCACAGAAAGCTTGGCTTCCTCAATGGCTTTAACCAGTGAAGCAGATACTTCGTGGCCTTTCTGGAGATTGTAGCCTACACAGGTTTTAATTCGTTGCCTGGTCAACGCAGCTTGAAGATGGCTTGCAAAAGTATTGCCTATGTCGTCTCCTCTGAAGCTGAGGAACACATGTGAAGGAGAAGGATCTGGAGGACGAGATGAAGAAGAAGAAGAAGAAGAAGAAGAAGAAAAAGAAGAATCAAAGAATGACCAGTGCTCCATTAACTTGAGTGCATGTGGCCTGAATTCAAAACTTGTAGATATAAAAAGATATGTGGGGGGGGGGGGGGGGGGGGGAGGGGGGGAGAGAGAGAGAGAGAGAGTATTGAAAGGAAGTTTCCTGCATAGTAAATCGTGGATTCTTTTTTCTATGATGATATAAGAAGGATTTAATTGACCTTATAAGCAGCAATGAGTTCGCATTGGGTGGTCATTGTGATGAACAAGAGATCTAGATGTTTAAAATTTATTTGGACGGGTTAGAATTAAAATTTTTAATTTGTAATTTTTAAATATAAATTTATTATGTCTTAAAAAATATGGTAATTGGAAAAATCACCTCTCTATTTAAGATCCTGCTACCAAGTCAGGCTTACTCGGATGAATGATTAAAGATTGGAGATTTGACTTGTTCGTGGCTGTTTTAGTCGCATTCGTCAAAAACAAGCGGCGAATGCAGTAATGCAAATGAACACTCAAGAAACAGCGGTGTAACTCTGTATATTCTATTCACATCTTTGTAGCCGCTTTGGCTCAATTAAAACAAACATAAATTAAATCACTCTTATTTTTTATAATAAATATGATAAAATTTAATATTATATATTATAAATATGAAAATCATCATATTCTTTAAAAATCTCATGAATCAAAACTCTCAATTTTATGAATTAAATTGCTCTTCTTTCATATGAATACAGTTTATATATCTCTTCATATTTTGATAACCTTATTATTTTTTTCATTTTTAATATATTTCATTTTCATCATTTCTAACAACCAAATGGGACCTTAATCTTTTAGTTTTGAAATGTATATGCATTTTTCATTAGAAGCAATCATATTTAAAATATGATTAAGTATTAAATATAAGCATATTTTTTAGCAGGGGTTTAAACTTTAATTAATTTGTCACTCTGTTTGCACCGGACCTAAGCTGTAGGTTGATTTTAATTTAGTTTAATTTGGTCAAAATAATATCTATTCAAATTAACATAGTACCACTTCTCGTTATTTCTGGTTTACCATCTGTCTACGGCAATTTAGGACGGTGAAGAAATTCATATTGCTTTAATAGAACCGCCCAACTCATATGCCTATTTTTCTTTTTTATTTTTTAGCATTAGCTAATAATTAAAAAATATATATGTAGAGTATAATATTTTATTAATCAATCATATTTAATTTATAATTAATATATTTTAAAAAATGAATTATTTTGGTTTATAGTTTAATGAAAATGATCACATATAGTATTTTTTTCTTACCAAAATATTATTATAATAATAACGTTAATATCATAAAAAAATACTATTATATATATATATATAATTTTATTACTAATTTATTAATCAATCAAGTGAGTATCAATTGACATATTAAAAGATCACAAGTATTGACAAAGTGTGTGGCACACATGATAGGGATATAAACTTTTAAGTATCATTTTAGGGTTTGATTTTTGAAGGTATCTTTAGAGAGAGGACAACAACATAAATAGTATTCAAATTTTTCGATGGAGTAGTCTTATAATTACTGGCTATGGGAATACATTGAGTAACCAAAAAAAAAAAAAAAACCCACTAGTATTGACTAGCATTGTATATTTTTTTAATTCTTGAATAGGTAATACACTTCTAGTTATGGTCGGTGTATTAAAATATCCAGAGAAATCGGAGAAAAATTATATTATTATATTATCATCGACCCGTAACCATGTTAAGAAAACCATATTAGTTGTTGAATTAGCAAATGGAATTCATGGTTCAATCGTCATAAACAACTTAATATATTTAAATAATATATATGTTTAAAATAAAAAGCAATCGTCCACAATAACAAGAATGAATTTATATATCTATCTATCTATCTATCTATTAAAAAATGGCAACATCCATTAATATACTTCTAGATCTTGAACAAAAATATACTATATATCACGAGAGTAATTCAAAACAATGTCTCAATCCTTTAAGAGATTAATCTTGATTTCATCAATAATGCTATCCTTGGTAGGAAAGAAAAGTGAGGGGGGGGGGGGGGAGAAAAGGGGGTAGTTGGGGGATAGCATTTCCCCCTACTTATGGAGAGAAAAATAGAGGAGAGAAAGTGAGAGGAAAATATGTGAAACCCATATATTTTTACCTCTAACCTTTCTCTCTAAATATAGGAGGATTTGGGAGACAAAATTTCATTTCCAAAATTTACCCATTTATTTTTTGTTGCCGCGTCTTGCTTTCCTCCATTTTTATCATGATATTTGTAGTATAGTTATATTTTGATCATGGACCTTTGTTAAACAAGCGGTATATTTAATTTTTATATTAATAAAAAATTCTAATTCTAAATTTTCAATTAAGTATTTTATATTTGGGTATAGTTTCAAATTTTAAGATTATTATATATTTAATAATTTAATAAATAAAATTTGAAATTGGATAAAATATTTTTTGATCAATATTGGATAAAATAGTTTTTAAATTATGTTTTTATTCAATCAATGATATATGATAGAAATTATTATATATACATATATAATATGTTAAAATATTAAATTTTATTATATGAATATTTTTATAAATAATAAGTTTATTATTGTCTATATAAAATTAACAACTTTTTTTTCTCTCTATTTTTTTTTGCTCAGCCAAACACAATAAGAAAAATTATATCTCTGTACTTTTTTCTTCTTTTCATTTTCACTCATTTAATTTTCTTTTTTCTTTTTTCTATTTCCCCCTTGCAGATCAAGCACAATATACTTCCTCTGATCCTATTTATAGGGCAGAGAGAGAAAAATTTTTTTAGTCTTACTTATAAGTCACATCATTAAATTTTCATCATAAATTTTCTTTTTTACCCTCTATTGAATGTTGGAGAGAAAAAATATGATATTAAAATGTGTATATTTAATAAGGGCAAGGTTGAAAATCTATTAAATTTTAAAATAGAATTAATGAGTTTTAAAATTTTTCTTAATGTTGGTGAAATATGTTGGAAGTAACTTATAAATGAGATTACAGGAGTAAGTTAGGTATTACATATGGCGAGAAAGAGAGGCGTTGCTTTTTCTTATTCCATTTATTGTTTCTTCATAATTGCTTGCGCAAAACCATGATATAGATGGAATCTTATATGAAACCGAAAATATAATTTCACTAATTTCACAACTGCTTCCAATTAACGAAAGAGGATCAATCAGTTATCACAGACAACAATTATCAACCTTGACAATCATGCATGACGATGGAAGAACAAATCGAAACTTCAATTATAATCTTAAATTCCACGGTAGAGGCCACGCCTGCGATTCTCTCTCTCAGCATTAATCTGAGCAATTTGGCGTTGAGTGGCAGTGTAATCTTCCATAGCCTTGGGATTACACGGCGAGCGAATGAACTTCTGCTGCTTGAGCTGCAAAATTCTCTGGTTCGTCACGTCAAGTTCTTCCCAGTCCCTATCATCGTCCGTACGCAGGGCCTTGTCCAGTTTCAGATTCGCTAGCTCTTGCAGTGTCTCTGTTAGATCTTCCATGTCGCTCAGATTCCCACTCCTCAAACACTTCTCTAGCTTCGCCTGTGCCATCTGCTTGTACGTCGCTATCCTGCTCTCTATCCCGCCATTGTTAATCGAATCTAGCTTCTGCAACACGTCCATGGCGATCCTCTCCACCAGCTCTGACTCCATCCTATATACATATAGTTCAAAGTTGAGCATAAATCACAGACACAATTTGAGATTATATAGCTGGATAGATACAAACACATACATACATACATACATACATACATACATATATATATTTTTGCTTTAGAAATGGAGATCAGCTGCAGAGCGGGGAGAGAGGACAAATGGAAGAAAAATCTCAAGTCTACCTACACTTTGAAAACCTAATAATTTCCGGATCAAGTATGAGTACGGCGCAATATAGATTTCTAAGTCCCGGGCAAAACTACGCTCTATTATGACTCATTAAGAGTGAGAAAACGGGGGGAGGGCCAAAATTGCACTAAATAATTTAAAAATTACAAACAATGATCCCAAAAAATTATAGAAGAAGATTAAAAAATTTTATTAGTCTTTTTTTTTAATTTTTGATTTTTTTGTCATTTTGTAGGTCAAAATTAACTTTTGTTAATAATAGATCTAAATTATATTGCTTTCAAAAGTTAAAGAAAAACATTATAACAAAAATGAATTTATGATTTTAAATGCTCCTGGATTTATAGTTGGGTTAAAGGGAAAGAAAAAAAATACTTTGAAACTTTTTCTCCAAAGACACCTGACATCCTAAACATTTTTGCCCCCAGAGTTCAAAAAACAGAGCATTTTGACCCCATCGTTAAAAATCCCAAACATTGATCATTAAACTAAAGTTTGACCAATGATATATTTGTATTTTTTCCTTTTTTCTTTCTGTGTTTAGTCTCCGATTTCGTTTTCTAGTGAATTATTTAACTTTTTTTCTTTCAACGAATGAAAATGAAGATAAAAAAAAACAGAAACAAAGGAGGCCAAAATCATACAATACCCTGGTTAAACTTCAATAAATGGTCTACGTTTGAGATTTTCAATGGTGGGATGGAAATGTTCTGTTTTTGAAACTTTTGTGGCAAAATTGCTTCAAAAAAAGAAGTTTAAAATGCCAGATGACCTTGGAGAAAAAATTTTAAAATATTTTTACCCTTTAACCCTTTAAGAGCCAATTTGCTCCTTTATTTAAAGATATAAAAGATATTTTCGATGCCTTATATTTTGTATTAGGTAAAAACTTCCAAAAAAAAAAAAAGTTCTATATGGTGGTCGGCATTTTACATGCACTAACCTGGTGACCAAACAATCCCAGCCTGAAAGATTAGCAGCTTCAGAAAGAGCGAACCTCCAACTTAGGACCTTGTTGGGGTTGGAGCCCATGAGACGGCGATCATGCTGAGCGAATGAATCGGCGTAGCTTCCGGTCTGATTCCTGACGTGGGTTGGTTCGATGTGGTAGAAGATGGGGACGACGATCTGGCCTTTGGATCTCTTGCAGTCCATTATCTTCACCAGTTCGTCTAAACACCATCTTGAAGAAGCATAGTTTTGAGAGAAAACTACGACAGCAACCTTAGCTTCTTCGATGGCCTTCAACAGTGCCGGCGATATCTCGTCTCCTCGCTGGAGCTCATAGTCGATGTAGGTCCTCACTTTGAGCCTCGTTAAAGCTGCGTGAAGATGGCTCGTGAAGCTGTAGCGAGTGTCCTCGCCTCTGAAGCTGAGGAAAACGTCGTAGTTTTCCCCAGAGAGTTTGGGGAATAATGGAGGAGGAGGAGTTATGTTGGAGGATGAAGAATATGCCATGAAAGCTCGGAAAAAAGCTCTAAGAGTGATTGAAAATGAAGACTCGTAATCAAACTTCTTCTCTGCAATATAAGAACCTTTAAAAGACGAAGTGGGAACGCTTATTTATCGATAAGTAACTTGATTCGTTTCTTGGCTGCTTCCTCCATTTGAAGGGGTCGTCTTAGTTTGTTTCTTTTTTTTTTTTTTTGGGTCAAAGTCTTAGTTTGTTTCTTTAAATTAAAGTCCAAAGTTTATGCCATGCGTGTGGGATTTCACATTGAAGCTCTACTCTTGACTTGGAAAAAGCTCATGGGAGGTATGTATGTGTACATAATATATTGTTGACGGTATGGAGGTAAACCGAGAGCTGCTTGAGTCATGCTAAAAGATACTATTCTTAAGAATTATTCCAGCACACCTAGATGATGGACTGACAGTTTTTTAGGATTAAACAAGCACGTCTTGTACAAGCAAGGCAATAGAACAATAGCACTGACCAAAAAGCAACTCAGATGAACACAACACACAGACAGAGGAGGAGGGAAGAAGTGGCTCAAAAACTCTAGAGCCTGGCACCTCGTCTTGTTTACACTCTCGCCTATATATAGGCATAAACCATAGACATTAATGTTGGGCTTATAAGTACCTCATTAAACATCATTAAGCCTGTATTACACGAACATAAAACAACATAAATCCTCGGCTACACACGCACGCATTCATTACTCCTGGAGCTGTTAGGGACAAACAAATAATGGATTTGATTAACATAAATCTATTTAAGAATCTATTTAAAGGCCAAAAAACATTTAAGGTTGAATTCAAATTTCAAACAGCTAAAAATTAAGGTTTTTCGATAAGCTCATGTAAATAAATAATTATTTATTTTTTACAAAAATAATCCATAAAAAGAACCCACTACCTCTTGAACTCAAGTACAGGGGCAAATTGGCTATTTTCAACTACGATTGCCCTGAGTTGGCCTGTTTTGTGCATGCGAGCTCACTTCTCCTTCAAGCCTATTTTATTAGCCCATTTCATTCCTTAGTATTTACACACTAGGAGCACTCTTCATTTAGGTAATGTGGGATTTTCTTTGACACACATGCATACAATTACCACAACAATCCCCCATATGTATCAAAAGGATTTACTATCATCTAAGTTATTCACACGAAGGATAATCACTTTGAATTTGGTGTCTTTAAACTTGAACTAAACCTAGATTAATAAAATTTAGCACATAGAAAAGCCAGTGCAACTTTGTTATTGAACCAACAAATCTTGAGTATGTACTAGAGGTCATATTAATCAAATTATACCCCTACAATCTCTGCTGTTAATGATGATTTTGCACGTTATCGGCCATGTGGGCACCTGATTTTAACAAATGCTTTAGAGATTTTGCACGATCTCATAAGAGTACCCCACTCCACATTTGTATAGGTGTTTTCATCAAGTGAATTTGCAATGAATACACTATCCATATGGACTATAAAAATATTAAGAGCTTTCGCTCAGCCTCTATTCAATACATTTTAACACTTTCTCAAGTCATAGGAAGGGACAAAAATTCAATGCTAGTAGAACTAACAAGTGACTTGTTCTAACCTATTGAACCTTCTTCATGGGATTTCCAATCACAAAGGTTGGGTTGTCATCACTATTAATTTCAAACATGTTTAAGTCCCATTCCCCTCAATGTTTCAATAATAAATTTCTTTCTTAGGGGCTTAGTAAATGGATTTGCTAGATTTAACTCTGATCTTACATAATTGATTGAAATGACCCCATCTTTGAGCAGTTACCTTATAATATTATGTCTCAATTGAATATGTCTACTTTTCCATTAACGGTCTTATTTTTAATTGTTGATATTATAGACTAGCTATCACAATACAAAGACACTGATGGTGTGGGCTTTTCACCTATTAGAATTCTTGCTAAGAAGTTTTTCAACCACTCAGCCTCTATTCCTGCTAGCTCTATGGTAATAAATTTAGAATCCCTGCAGGATTTTGTATTGATTGTTTGTTTTGTATACTTCTAGGTTATTGCATCACTAGCAAAAGTGAATATATAACCACTAGTGGATTTTGTCTCTTCTAAATTTGAGATCTAGTTAGCATCACGATATCCTTCCAATACAATGAAAAAGCCACTATGATATACCATAATTTATGGTACCTCTCAAATATCTCAAGACTCTCACAAGAGCCTCCCAATGTTTACTGCTTGGATAGTGGGTATATCTGCTTAATCTGCCTACAGTGGGTATATCAAGCCTGGTGAAATTCATCATATACAATAGACTCCTAACAATCTGTGCATACTTAGATTGAGCAATTGGGTCACCCTTGTGCTTTTTTAATTGTATACTCGAATTGTAAGGAGTACTTAGAGGAGCATCTTTAAGATGCCCAAACTTATTAAGAATTTTCTTAACATAATATTCTTGAGAAAGCAAAATCCCATTTTCATTCCTTATGATCTTTATACCCAAGATTACCTTGGCTTCACCCATATCTTTCATATCAAAATTTGAAAAAAGAAAATATTTTGTTTCATCAACAACACACATATTAGAGCCAAAGGTTAGTATGTCATCCACATATAAGCATATAATCACACAATCATTATTCACAAGTTTTGTATAAATACATCTTTCTACTTTAATAGTAGAAAAACCACCATTTGTCAAAACTTGATCAAGTTTTTCATGCCATTGCTTAGGTGCTTGTTTTAAGCCATACACACTACAAAAAAATAGCGGATTAGCAATGGAATAAATTTTCGTCGCTAATCCATCACTAATTTTGTCGCTAATTTAGTGAGGGAATGTTCTATCGCTAAAATTTTATCATTATTCCGTTGCTAATCCATCAAAAATAATTTAGCGACGGAATTTAGTGATAGAAAACTCCATTGCTAATGGTCAGGATATCTTATTTCGATTTACTGATGAAATTGTGACGAAAAATTCTGTCACAAATTATTTTTAATTTAATTTTTATTATAAATATATATATATATATATATATATAATTTATTAATAATTTATTATTATGCTATAAATAAATAATTTAAATATTATAATTTAAAATGACTTATTATTTTAAATTATTTGTATATTATTAATAATAATTTAAATTGCATACTTAATTATTCTTATTTAAAAATAAAAATAAAATAAAATAATTAAAAAACAAAAATTTAAAATATTATATATTATATAGATACAAATTATAATATAATATATAATGATAATAAAATATTTTTTAATTTAATATTAAACTTATTATCAAAAATAATTTTTTAAAATGAAATATAATAGAAATAGTAATTATATATAAATTAATTTTTCCATTTTAATAAATAAATATAACATTAAAAAATAAGTAAATTTAAATACTATATTTAATAATAATTTAAATAATATATTTATTAATATATGTGTGTATGGTTAAGTATTATATGTTTAATTTATTAATTAAGACTAAAGATTCCTTATAGCTCAATTGGCAACAAGATGGACGCAAAGGCACTAAGGAGTATAAGGTTGTAAGTTTGAACCTAGCCAAGATATAATTGAAGGTAATAATATTTGACATGGTAGTGACAAATGACGTAGTGATGACATGGCGGTAAGGTGACACTAGTCCATTGGGTAATTAGAATGTGGCGGTGACATGGTGGTAAGGTGGCATTGGTCTACTAGGTGATGTGGCAATGATATTTTGGTCTACCTAATAAATCAGTGATGGAATTAGCGACGGAATAAGCCCGTTCGAAAATTAGTGATGGAGCAGCAATAAAATGCATTCTGGCATAAAGTCAGAACATCTTATCCTTATTCAGTGACAAAAAAATTTCTGCCACTATTCCGTCGCTAATTAGCGATGAAATGCAATTCTGTCACTGATTCCATCACTAATCACTAATTAGTGATGGAATTGCAAATTCTGTCACTAATGAACTAGTGATGGTGTTTTTACCTACGAAAATATTCCATCGCTAATCCATTTAGCGATGAAATTTTCACTAATTAGCGATGAAAAATTCTATCACTAATTAGCTATTTTTTTTGTAGTGACAAAGATTTGACAAGTTTACAAACTTTATTTTCTTACCTAGGAATCGCGCATCCCTCATGCTATACCATATAAATTTCTTCTTCCAAATCACTATTCAAAAATGTTGTTTTAACATCCATTTGGTGAACATAAAGCTTGTGAATCGAAGCCAAAGAAATAAGAATTCTTATAGAAGAAATTCTAGTCATAGGAAAAAATGTGTCAAAATAATCAATATTTTTCCTTTGAGTAAAACCTTTGGCCACAAGCCTTGCTTTATATTTATCGATTGAACCATCTGAAAAATATTTTTTCTTAAAAATCTATTTACACCCGATAATATTAGCTCCTTAAGACAAATATGCTAAAACCCAAGTTTTATTTTTCCTTAAGGAATTGATTTCAATTTCAATTGCTTCTTTCCAAAACTTAGCATTAGGAGAAGAAATAGCTTTATAAAAATTTAATGGTTCATCTTGCACCAAATAAGCATAAAAATCATCTCCAAAACTTGTTTCTTTTCTTTGCCTTTTACTTCTCCTTAAAACCAAATCCTCATTTAAATTTTGTTCAAACTCAAAATTCTTAATAGGTTTAGAAACATGCTCAATTTTCAAGGAAAAAATATGTTCAAAAAATTTAGTATCTTTAGTCTCAACAATTGTGTTTTGGTCTAAAACATCACTTTTTAAAACTAAAAAGTGATAAGCTGCACTTTGTGTTGCATACCCAATAAACATACAATCAAAAGTTTTAGAACCAATTTTTCCCTTTTTAGGATTAGGTAATAAAACTTTTGCAAGGTACCTCCACACTTTCAAATATTTTAAATTTAGGGTAAATACTTTTCACAATTCATAAGGTGTTTTCTTTGTTTTCTTATGAGATATCCTATTTTAGAAAAAAATGCAGACAAAATAGCTTCACGCTACAAGTTATCAAATGTAGAAGAATTCACAAGCAAAGCATTCATCATTTCTTTTGAAGTTTTATTTTTCCTTTTTGCCACACCATTAGACTCAAGAGAATAAGGAGGTATTTTCT